CATAGGATAATTTTCAAAACCAAGAAATTAACATTGATACAATACTGCTAATTAAACTGGAGACTTACTTAGGTTTTGCCAGTTTCTCCATTACTGTCATTTTTCTGTTCTAGGACCCAGTTCAGTGTCCCACATTGCATTTAATTTTTGTATGTCCTTAGGCTTTGACTATTTGTGACAGTGCTGTAGTTTTTCTTGTCTTTCATGTCTTTGACACTTCAAAAAAATATTGGTCAAGTGTTTTGTAGAAGGTTCCTGAATTTGGTTTGTGTTGGGCATACATTTATTAGATCAAGATAATGGATTTTTGTGTGTGTGTGTGTGTGTGTGTGTGTGTGAGAGAGAGAGAGATAGAGAGAGATACCCCCTTCTCAGTACAACATATCCAAATGCTCATGCTGTCAATTTATTTTATTGCTCATGATGTCCAACGTATGAATAGAAAGAGTTATTTTTGGTTGTTGCTATTTTGTCCTATGGATACCCAATTGTTCTGTCAACATTTATTGAAAGACTGTCCTTTCTCCATTGAGTTGTCTTTGCACCTTTGTTAAAAATCAGTTGACATTATATGTGTGGGCATGTTTCTGGTCTCTCGTTCTGTTTCTGTTGATATACTTGTCTTTCCTTAGCCAATATCACACTGTTTTGATTAGAGTAGCTTATACTGTTTTGAAATTGGGTATTGTGAATCCTTCATCTTAATTCTTCTTCTTTAGAATTGTTTTAGCCAGTCTAGCTTTTTGCCTTTCCGTATAAATTTTAGGCTCATCTCGTCATTACCTACTAATTGTGACTTGTATTGAAATTCTATTGATCCATAGATTTTAATAATACTGAATTTTTTTCAATCCATAAGTATATTGTCTCTTTTATCTAGGTCTTCATCTCTTGTTTTAGTTATTTGTAGTTATCAGCATACAGATCCTGTACATATAATATTATATTTATACTTAGATATGTCATTTTTGTTCCTAGTATAAATTGTACTTTTCTTTGTTTCAAATTATAATTTTTCCTTGCTACTATATATAAAGACAATTGATTTCTGTATATTAATCATGTATCTTGTGTGTGTGTTAAGCTCCCTTACTTGTTCTCATTAGTTCCAGTACATTTTTTGTAGATTCTTTTGAATTTTTTATGTAGATAATCATCTCATCTGTGAAGTGTGTTTTATTTTTTCCTTTTTTTAGACTTATTTCATTAACTAGGACTTACATGCTATATAAGAGTGGTGAGAAAGGATATTTTTTGCATGTTTCTGATATGAAGAAAAAAAGCATTCATTCTTACACCATTAAGCTTGATGTTAACTATAGGGCTTTTTCTTTTCTTTCTTTTGGACTCCCTTAATGAGATTAAGGAAATTTCTTTTTATTCCTAGCTTGTTGAGAGTTTTTTCCTGAAAGGATAATGAATTTTATTAGCTACCTCTTCTATTTAGATATCATGTGAATTTTTAAAAAATTTCATTCTTTTAATATGCTAAAATATAGTGATTGATTTTTGGATACTGAGCCAGTCTTATATTCCTGGGATAAGCTACTTGGTTGTGATATATTATCTTATTTATATGTTGCTGGATTCAATTTGCTAGTTTTTTTACCCCGTTTTTAAAGTTTTTATGTCTATGTTCATAGGAAGATACTGATCTGTATATTGGGGATATCTTTAGGGTTTTTTTTTTTTTATTAGAGTAATGCTAACCTCATATAGTTGGGTCTTGTGTTTTGAGCTCATCTGATAAACTCTGTCTTCTAATTGGTATGTTTAAATCATTCCCATTGAAAGTGATTTTTGGTGTGGTTTGATTAGAATCCTATATCTTGCTGTTTTCTATTTGTTTTGTGTGTTCATTTATATTTTTTTCTGCATCCTTTCATGTTAATTGAGCACTTTAGTGATTTTATGTCCATTTCGGTTTATTATTTGTATACCTTTTAAAGGTTCCCCTCAGGTTTACAATATACATATTTTTTTAAAAGTATATTTCATTGACCATGCTATTGCAGTTGTCCAGTTTTTTCCTCCCTTCTATCCCCCTCTGCCCTGCATCCCTCTTCCCTCCAGCATTCCGCCCCTTAGTTCATGTCCATGGGTTGTACATATAAGTTCTTTGGTTTCTCCATTTCCTGTACTATTCTTAACCTCCCTCTGTCTATTTTGTATCTACCAATTAGGCTTCTTATTCCCTGGACCATTTCCCCCATCCTCCCTGTCCCCTTCCCCACTGATAACCCTCAATGTGATGTCCATTTCTGTGATTCTGTTCCTATTCTAGTTGTTTGCTTAGTTTGTTGTTCTTCTTTTTGTTTTGTTTTTAGGCTCAGTTGATAGTTGTGAGTTTGTTGTCATTTTACTGTTCATAGTTTTTGATCATCTTCTTTTTCTTAGATAGGTCCCTGTGACATTTCATATAATAAGGACTTGGTGATGATGAACCCCTTTAACTTGACCTTATCTGGGAAGCACTTTATCTGCCCTTCCATTCTAAATGATAGTTGTGCTGGACAGAGTAATCTTGGATATAGATCCTTGCTTTTCATGATTTTGAATACTTCTTTCCAGTCCCTTCTTGACTGTAAGGTTTATTTTGAGAAATCAGCTGAGAGTCTTATGGGAACTCCTTTGTAGGTAACTCCTTTTCTCTTGCTGCCTTGAAGATTCTCTCCTTATCTTTAACCTTGGGTAATTTAGTTATGATGTGTGGTGGTATGTTCCTTCTTGGGTTCAACTTGTTTGGGATTCTCTGTGCTTCCTGGACTCGCATGTCTATTTCCCTCGCCATATTGGGGAAATTTTCCATCATTATTTTTTCAAATAAGTTTTCAATTTCCTGTTCTCCCTCTTCTTCTGGTACCCATGTGATTCAAATGTTGGCCCTTTTGGAGATGTTCCAGAGTCGTCTTATTCTCTCTTCATGTTTTTGAATTCTTGTTTCTTCATTTTGTTCTGGTTGAATGTTTATTTCTTATGTTCCAAATCGTTGGTTTGAAGCCAGGCTTCTTGCCCTTCACTGTTGGTTTGCTGTGGATTTTTCTTTATTTCCCTTAGTATAGCCTTCAATTCTTCCCTTATGGTTGCTGTATTCAATGAGATTTTTGAGCAATCTGACCACCAGTGTTTTTGAACTCTGCTTCTCATTGATTGCCTATCTCAGCATTGCTTAGTTCTTTTTCTGGGGTTCTGTTCTGTTCCTACGTTTGGGCCATATTTGTCTCCTCATTTTGGCAGCTTCCCTCTGTCTCTGTACTAGGTAGAGCCGCCTTGATTTCTTGTTTTAGCATACCTGTTAAGTTGTTTGAGGAGGAGCCTTGGGTATTTGCGAGGATGGCGCAACCTGCTTCACTGCTTTGTGCCTCTGGGTGTGGGGGAAGGGTCAATGAAGGGACAATGCCACTGCTGACTGGCTTTTGGGGACTTGCGTGGCACTTGCCCCTTTTCCAGACACTTCACCCACTTCCTGTATGTGACTGGCGCCCCTTCAGCTACTGTGCTGGTTGTGGTTTACAGAGTGGGTGGGTTTGCCTACATTCTAGGTTCTCTTGAGATACTGGAAGTTTCTTCCACCACCCCAACTCCCACTGGGTTTACAGCCAGAAGTCATGAGGGTTTATTTTTCCTGGTGCTGGAGCTGCGGGCTGTGCGGTCTTGCCTGGGGCTGGTATTGCTTGCTCACAAGGTGTCCCCCTGATTTTTATCCACCACATGTGAAATGTTGGTCTGCCTATTTTGCTATCTGCTGCCACCTTGCTGCCTTATCACCCCCCACTGTCCTCTCTGCCCAGGCTCCCTGTCTCTGCCCCTCTTACCTGTCTCGATGAATATAGCTTCTTTAAATCCTTGGTTGTCAGACTTTCATCCAGTTCCGGGTGATTTTCTGGCAGTTCTGGGTGTTGTGTGCTGGTGGTTGTTTTGAAGGGATTTTGAGGTTTAAGGGTGACATTTAGCCATTAACCAAGGCTGTATAACTTTTGAATAAGTAATTATTTTCCTTTTCACCCTACTCTGCCATTCAGAGCCATAATTCCAAGGGCGGCGGGCAAAGGACCCACAACCAAGGGGTCCCGGGGAAGGAGGGTGCCGTTGTTTCGGTAATAGCATCTGGGCATCCCCGCCACGGGTCCTTTTGTTCGGTAACAGTTTTGCAGTGAGGAGAAGTGTGTCTACCTACGCCTCCATCTTGACTGGAAACCTGACATTTTTCTATTAGGGCTTTTAACGTATTAATCGTACTTTTAAAAAATTGCCTGTCAGTTCCAACACTTATGTCAAAAGTTTGGTTTTGTTGATTGCCTTCTATTGGAAATGGGTTGTTTTTCTTGCTGTTTTGTATACCTGATAATATTTTGTTTGAAGTGGGACATTTTATTTAGTATATTAGGGACTGAGGTAACTTTCCTGTATTTTGACAGTGGCACACCTTTTCTTTCTGTTAGGCCTTTCTTGTTTGAGTTTGAGTTAATCTAGTCAGGAGCTGGGCTTGAATTAAGGTTTGTTGTTTCTGTGCGTGCCCTCAATGTATCACTGGCTTAAAATTCCGTTAGCGTTACCTTGTATAGCATGGAGGCTTGCCTGCCAGAGGTTTTTTTCTTTTTTTCTCAATGTCTGATATATCCTGAGCTTCAGGTCTTTCCATTGCATTGCCTCTCAGGGAAGGTCTATGGCTATGATCTTGCACCTATTCTGGCATTATTCTACTGTTAGTTGTTATTAGATGCTTGTTAGCCTGGTAGTGCGTGGCTGGGGGAGAGGGATACACATTTTGTATTGTTATGATTAAACCTCAGTCTCAGCCAGGGACTTCTCTATTCACCCCTCTTTGTGAGTTGTCATGACTTAAATTTATTTCTAATTAAATAAAATATAGCTATAAACAGCTAAGTTTCCGGGGGAAATCAACCCAGATTTTATGATTTTGTTAAATATTTCATAGTAGAGGACTAGCTGAGATCTTGTTTCAGAGAGTACTTTAGAACGTTTGCTCTTTTTCCTAGGCACCACACCAATCCAGTGGGCACTGAGTGGCGGTGGAAGATGGACCCGCCTGAAGCAATCTTAGAGGAAGCCATTGAAAACCATCAGAACATGATCAAGCAGTTTAAAGGTATTTATTTTTTTCTATACAGAGAAACACTAATAACCTGAATTAAATTGGCAGAGGAATTACCTCTTTGGTAGGGTTTTGTCTCTTTTAGCAAATTTTCAGATAGATAAATGCAAACTTTGTAGAAATAGTATATACATTTGACTTTTTAAATTTTTTTAAAAAATTGATTTGAGAGAGAGAGAGAGAGAGAGAGAGAGAGAGAGAGGTGGGTGGGGGGAGAGAAACATTGATTTGCTTTTCCATTTATTTAGGCATTCATTGGTTGGTTCTTGTATGTGCCCTGACTGGGATCAAACCTGCACCCTGGGCTGTAGAAGAACTGAAATTTGTTAGGCTCTGTTAAATCTCTGTGCTTATGTCTCTACTTACCACTTCTAAGTCCTTGTCTCTTATATCCTCCTTTTCATATGCAATGATAAAAAATGAATTCCAGCCAATGTTGTTTTGATATAGGCACTCTTGTGGTGCTAACATCATATTTATAAATGCTTGTAATTAGTATTTTGAAGATCAGGGGATTCTTTTATGCAAAGAAATTTGTTCTGTCAAGTCACTGCTTCTTGAAATTTAGTGCTTCTGGGGGGTGGGTGGGTGGGTGGGTGGGTGGGGGTGTGTGGGGGTGTGTGTGTGCGTGCACGCACGTGTTAGTGCCATTAAATAGTTCTTCTAGTCTCAGCAGACACTGACTGGTGTCACACAAATTTAATTCAATTCTGACACTATCTGGAAATGGCACTGCACCCCACAGCTTAAGGGTTTAGTCCTACAAAACTGCCCCTACTTTAGATGCTACTTGCAAGTCCAGACTGTTAACTTGTGCTTCTGACTAACTGGCTGTAAATGGGAGGTTTCTATAACCTCCTTCTTAGATTTGATTAATTTGCTAGGTTCACAGAATACTTACAGTAATTCCTCATTTAACATAGTTGATAGGTTCTTGGAAACTGTTACTTAAAGTGAAACAATGTATAATGAAACCAATTTTATTATAGACTAATTGAGATAAGCAAGAGTTAAGTTCCTACAATATATTTCTGGTCATAAAAACATCACCAAACCTCTAATTAAAAACGCAAAACACATTTATTATTAAACATTGAAATAAGTGTAAGCTATATATGTATTTAGAAAAGATTAATTAAAACAAGTAAGATAATTATTTTTCAACCTGCTTATTCAACCTGTTCAGGATCACAAGTGGCTGTAGCCTCTCCTAGCAACTCAGGACACAAGGTGGGGACTCAGCCTGGACAGGACACCCTTCCACTCACACCCACACCCACTCACACTCATACCCACTTGACTGGGGTAGTGTAGACACGCCACTTCACCTCACGTGCACATCTTTAGTTTGTGGGAGGAAACTGCAGTCTCCGGAGGAAACGCATACAGACATGGGGAGCATGTGTACACTCCACACACACAGCCCTGGCAGGGAATCAAGTTCTTTTTTTCTCACCAAGGTTGTAATGAAATGACATTGAGTGAAACTGTTATCCAGGGACCCGCTGTACTTATGTTTATTATAAGGGATATTAGAGACGATATAGATGAACAGCTAGATGAAGGGGTTCATAGAGTGAAGCCTGAGAGGTCTGAGAGGGCTCTTAGCCCAGGTGCTTCTGTCCCCAGGGGACTGTGGTGCACCACAGTGTTCACAGGGGGCTCTACTCACTACCTGACAGCTCATCAAATCTTGTTGTTTAAGAGTTTTTATAGAGCTTAATTTGTAGCCCCCTCTTTCCCTTCACACAGGTCTGTGGATGTGCCTAAAAATGTCAACCCTGTAAGCTTTGGTCTTTCTGGTGACCAGCCCCATCCCGAAGCTATTTAGGAGTCTTTTCCTCAGTCAGCTCATTGGCATAAACTCAGGAATTCTCAAAGGGACTTCTCATGGATGACAAAGGACTCTCCTATATCTCAGAAAATCCTAAAGGTTTTAGGAGCTTTCCAGGACCCCAGAACAAAGACCATATATATTTCTTATTATACCACAGTACTACTTATTATTTTTATTTCTTATGAGAGACAGAGAAAAGCAATGCAAATAATGATTCATGATCAATAATAATGTATGCTCAATAATTATTCCTTTATTTTATTTTATTTTATGAATTTTCTAGGGAAAGTTTACCTGTATAGATTTGTGTGTGTATGTGATGTATTTTTTTTACACCTGCAAAGAAAATGCTAATTGATATTTTAGTATTTCATCTTGACTTTTAGCCTCAAACACTTTTTTTTTCTTTTTCTTTTCTTTTTTTTTTAGAGAAATTACTTTCTCTTATTTGGATAAAGCAGTGTCTCTATTAGTCTTTTGGAAACTTAAATGAAACTTTGGAAAAGAGGTAGTAAGTCTCCACATCTGGAATTGGATTAGCTTTTCTTAGACTATTGTTAACTTAGTTAATGTTATTGATTGTTGATCTTCAAATAAACTGTATGCCTTTTAAATAAATTTAAGGCAAAGTCCTATTTTCTTTAGGATAATGTAAAAGAGTTCTCTGGGGAAACAGAGTCAATAGGATCTTGTGTGATTGGTGCATGTGGAAGGGGGGTGGGGGGAGAGAGAGAGAGAGAGAAACCGATTTGATTTAAGGAATCGACTCACATGATTGTGTAGGCGTGGCAAGTCCAGCAAAAAAATAAAAAAATAAAAGATGTGTTGGGGTAGACCAGCCAAGGAAGAGTGGCAGTTGAGTCTAAGACTGTCTGCTGGCAGTATTTCTTTTTTGCTTAGGGAAGGTTAGCCTTTGTTCTATCAAGGTTTTCAACTGATTGGATGAGGTTCATTCTATATTTTGGAGGGCAATCTGTTTTACTCAAGGTCCACTGATTTCAATGTTAATCTCATCCAAAAGACACCCTCACAGAAACATCCGGAAAAAAGTTTAACCCAGTATCTGGGTTCTGTGGCCTAGCTGACTTGCTTCTTAAAATTAACCATCATAGAGAGCAATATCAGAAGCAGGCAAATGTCAGTAATCTTACCTTTATAGCCTGTGAAGTATATTTTGGTTTAGTGCTTATGAGGTAACAAAACTAAATGTTATGAGAATTTTGACAAGTGAGAAAAGGGAAAATGAGACAGATGGTTTGCAACCAGAAAAGTCAGAGTTCGTGCTGCCTGTCACTACCAGACCAGTGAGTAGAGACCAGAATTGAATCTTTATGGGTGCTTTATTAAAATGCCAGCAATCTGAGAAGATGGCAGGTTATGTACCCTAAAAACTGTCTTAACATCTCATCTCAAGCCGACTTTTTATAAGGAGAAAAAAAGCTTAGGTAAGGGGTTTGGAAAAAGATTAATCAGGGTTTCAGTCCATCTGGCAACTTTTCTAGTATTTCTTTATCTACTAATCAACAATTCTCTTATCTGTATCACTGGACATTTCCTTCTTGGATCACAGTGGCTCAGATACCATCTAATGGCTTGCAGAACCCCTGAGGCACCAAGGTTGAATCACTTGTTGACCTCCTGGAGTCACGTTAGGTCATGCATTCCAGATCTTGGAATAACAGCTTTGCACATGCATTAATCAATTAAGCCTATTAACTATAACTAAAGCTAACATCTTTAACTTTGAGTTTCCCTATCAGTTAGACAAATAGGGCCAAACAATTCAAGCAATTTACACTTGAGAGCACAGAGTTTATTACTCTCTTCCCTAACTAGAGAGTAAATTGCTTAAATCACCCTGGTCAAGAATATAGATTACAGAAGCCTAATAGTGCCATTAGTGCCAGCCAAACCCAAGGACAGATGAAGTCAGGGGAATAAATAACAAAAAACCCAATCGGAACCAAACAAATCCAAGAAAGAGGCAAACTGACCAAAAAATGACCCTGGTCCCTCTATGCACTCATTTTGGTACGTCAACATATTAAAAAGGACACCTGGAAAAGTGATGAATATTCTCCTAAAACCCTCCCCTAGGATTCCTGCCCTCAAGACAAAGGATGCCAGTGCTGGCTCTTTCAGTACCACACCATGCCCTTTCTTTCTTGGGCGGGGACTTTCTCCTAAACTGCAGGAGTCCTCATGAAACTTGTAACCAGGAGAGCAGTGGGCAGTGGTGACAGCTCATCCTGGGCTAACCCCCTGAAACTGTCTCCAAGGCCCCCTCTTCTTTGACTTTCTAGTGAGCTAACAGCAGCCCTGCCTTGGCTCAGTACTGTCGTCATGACTTTTGCTTCTCAGTGACCTGACAGCAGCACCGCTTTGGATCACTTCTTTCCTATACTTTTCTGGGGAGCCAAAGCAGCTCTGCCGAGGCTTTCTCCTAGTGCTTCTTCTACCCTAAGCCCTTCCTTTGTTTCTCTGCCCCAACTTTAATAAACATACTCTCAAAAACACCTGGTCTCATATTGTAAAATCTTTCCTGCATGAAATCAAGAACCCACACACTATGGGCCAGCCTGAGGCAAACCCACTCCAGGCCCAGTCCCTTTCCTGTGACCCTTACAAGCCAATCGAACTCTTAAATGACAGGATGATGACTGAAGCCATAACAATAACAGGATGTATGTTTCCTGGCCATCTGAGAATCTCCCTAAATGAATTGTGTCCCAGGCAGTTTGTGAGGGGAGGAAGCAGCCCTGAGGAATAGACATTCATTTTCCCATTCTGAGATGTCCTTGACTGAATGACAATCTGAGTTTTGATAGTAATTCTTCTGACAGGAACATTTTTGCAAATGCACTTTAAATGGAAATAAGTAATGAATAAATCATGAAGCAGACTTATTCATGTTAATACCATGTGTTAGGTGAGCTCGTTGTACGCATGTTCTTTGTTAATGTTGACCCTTAGATTGAACGTGCCTGTTAAGAGAGACTCCTGATATCTAATTGGACTCAAATTTATAAACAGAGTCTAGGAGTCATTGCTAAACAGAAGCCTCTTATGCTATTTGAAATTATGGGGAAAACTGCCTGCTTCCTGCACTGTGTTTCTGAGCCTTTTAAACAAGCTCCTAGGCTTGTAAATCAACTGA